TAGCAGAGTATTGGACTATTTATTATTTTGATCTTTCTTGTGAATTTGAGGGCCGGATGTAATGTGTGTTATTTTCTCCCAGTAAGTCATACAGAAATTTTACTAATTGTTCTAACCTCCTATCTCATTGACCTCTTGTCTCACTAGGGCTAGTGAGGGCTGTATGTGAGAGGGGAAACAAATCTTTTTCTTCCAGTAGGATATTTTTTTATTGTATTTTAATAAATTACAGTTCTAACTAGGGTGTTTGTGTAATTCATTCCAATGTGTGTAGATCTTGTGGAATAAAGTTGGGGAAGTGTTAATGATTCAGCTGATGGGGAAGAACTAAGTGATCAGACACAGTAGTAGTCTGTGTGCTGCTGGAGAGAAGTCTTTTTGCCCTTTCATTTGGATATGGTGCTTGTTTCCTGTCCTAACCAGTCACAGTGTTTAGCTATAAACAATAGTCAGATTGTAAGCAAATGTACTTCAGTAGAAGAGTTGGCTGTAGTGACCTGTTCTTGGAAGACCTTAAAACACTTTAGCATTCTTCAAGACGAATTGTTGTACAAGCTTAAGTCTGTTAATATGATAGAGTTAGTGGGTAAACACTCATAAATGTTCTGAAAGAACAAATACATACAAACTCAAATGAACAAAATGTTGTGGCCCTGGTCTGTGTTAAAGCCTTGAAATTCCTTCACTTTTATTGGGAAAAAAGTTTCACAGGTTGATTAGACTCAGTGTTATTAAAATATTTTAAAGTAATTTGCCAGATAACTGGCTAGTTTTTAGCTATGCTTTGTATACTTGGTCTAAGACATTTTTAAAGTTACATTTCACAGACTCTGCGTCTTTTACATTTCCAAACATTGCTGGAAACCTATTTCTTTCAAAGCTTCTGTGTTAGCTTCAAAGTCTGTGCAATGAATTGCATAGAGAACTGAGCTGAAGACAATTTCCAAATCTGTACAGCTATTTGATTACTACTTCATCTTATATATAATGATGACTTAATGAACCACTTCAGCTTTCTTGATTAAGATGTATGTTTTCTTCCTTACAGTACCACTGTGATCCAAAACGTGAACAAAGCTCAAGTCAAGATCAGAGCTAAAAAAGACAATGTAGCAGGTGACTCTTCCAGACTATGAGTAGTTCAATTCTTAAGGGAATTGTGGGAGGAGACTCTGAAATATGCAGGAATGTATCCAAACAGTGTCTCCTCTTCTTTATTTTCTTATTTGTCTAACAGGAATGCTTGTAATTTGCTGGGTTTTTTCACATACAGCATATAATTTTTATATTTAGTTATCTACTTCTCATAAAATCAAATGAGTGTGTGTAAACTGCAGTCCAATTTCTAGATCTTTGGACAAAGCATAACTTCCACAGAGCTTTACTGAAAAATAGATTAGGAAATTAAGTATCAAAAGATAAATCAGTTTCAGTAAGTTAAATAATAATGGTCTATGAAGAAAACAAGAAAGATAAATCAGGATTGAATGCTTAAAATATTCCTTAAGCACAGGGAATACATTACTAAACAGAAACATAATAAAACTGAACACTGAATAAACCGGAATACTTCCCTGAATTTTTCATGTGTCTAGACCTCTGTCATCTGAATACAATTCTGAAGTTCCGTATTAAGATGTCAGAACCAGCATGACTTAATCGTTCCAAGCTATATAGAAAGATTTTGGAAACAAAGCTTCTGAGCTAACATAATGTATTAGAAGCAAATGGGGTAAAAATGAGTTGTACTTAATAAAAATCTATAATCCTTTATGTTTATTACACACATTCTTGTTCACTTTTTGTCAGGTGTAACCTTGCCAGTTTTTGAGCATTACCAGGAAGGAGGGGACAGTAAGTACAAAACAAGTATTTTCTACCTTGCATGTACTTATGGCTGTTCTATGCTAATACAAAAATACTTGTCATGTCATACCTTGCTGATATGTCAGTTTACATCATAGGCATAGGCGTACTTATTTCCTCTGTGATGCTTTGCCCTGTTCCTGTGATGTGGAGGGATTATTAGGGACTATAGTGGATTTTAATTTCCTAAATCAGTGAGTTTTTCAGATGAGGAGAAGGCTTGTCTTGAATTACCAGGTTTTGAGACTGGTAGGTCTTACTGTGGACATGCACAACAATGATCTGTAGTAACATAAACCACTATAAAGACAATTTGTTAGTGGGCAAAGGCTTTAGCTTGTCGTTTGGTGAGCTGTCTGTATCCCTGTAGTTTGTGCAGTACTAATTTTTATCTAGTAAGAAAACACCATAGTAGCAGCAGCAACAAATATCATTTGATGATTATTTTTTTTTTCAGGCTATGAGCTGACTGGCTTGGCCAGAGGTGGAGAACAGCTGGCTAAGCTGAAGAGGAACTATGCCAAAGCTGTGGAGCTGCTTGTGGAACTGGCCTCCTTACAGGTTGGTGGGAGGAAAAAAAGAAGGGGATCATTGGTTTCTCACTGTTCTGAAATGAAAATAACGTAGTCTCAGTGATTGTAGCTTAATACTTTGAGCTGTACTATACTCCTTTAGTCCCAGTGCTGTACAAAGTTGCAAGCCTTTTCCAGCCATAAAACAGACTTATATTACTGCTTCAGAGAAGTCCTTATTCCTTAATGCTAAGACGAAACTTTCGTTGGGGAGTTAGTATTTGTAACTGCTAATGTGCAGCGTTCAGCGTGCTACTGACATCAGTTGAAAAAATTGTGCTTCTATCAAGAATGTAGTGTGTAAAGCTCTACATTACAGACTTGGCTTTGGCTTTCAAGTGCTCTTTGGTTTTGTGTATAGAATTGATGGAAACGCTGAATTTGTCTTGTTGTGTATTAATTATTTAATCCCATTCCATCAGACATCCTTTGTTACTTTGGACGAAGCCATTAAAATAACAAACAGACGTGTGAATGCAATTGAACATGGTGAGTATTTTTCCATTTGGGATGCGTAATATTTTTCTGTCTCCATGCAAGATGAGGAGCAGGGTCATGGAAGTCACTCTTCTTTTGACTGCTTTCTTGGTAGTAGGATTTCTAACCAGTTCAAGAACTCTTCAGAAAGCGTTACAATGAAACATATTGCAAGCAAGAACAAAAATTAAAAGCCCAGTGGAATGGACTGGAGTACACGGAGATAGATGAATATGCAAACAGAGAAAGTAATTGGGAAGTTGAATTGAGAACCTATAGAACAAAGATTTCACAAACACATTCTGGGGTCTCTGCTAGTGACTGACTTATTTGGTCAAGTCTGTTGACTAGAAACAAAAGACAGGATGTTTTTGTGTGTCAAGATGTTCTAATAGCTAGCATAACAGCTTTTAAAACTGTAATGATGCTGTCCAGTGGAGAGCTGGTGACTTTTTTTTGTTGGTTTTGGATGGGATTGCGGAGTAGGCATCCAGAGAAATCTTTGTAACCTATTCAGGTTTGTGTTACAGGAAACAGAACACTCCTAATGTCAATACTCTGGTATTTTTCATCTGAATTGCTTATCCTTTGCATTCCTGATTGTAAATTTGTTTCTTGCAATTGCTTAAGTACTACCTATGCACAATATTGATTGCTGTGATTCCTTTTGCTGCAGTATCCAGGGTGCTTAGATTATTTCAAGTTCCTTTCCGAGTTGTTGATAGCTCAGATTTAATCATCTTTGCATGTATGAAATAACTTATTTCAGTACATTATTGTAAATGGTCCTTTTCAGTACTGTTTTTCATAGACTTGTTCCTTTGAACATGCAGGCCTTATCTGCAGCTTATCACTCTGCAAATTTGACTGTAGAAAAGGTTTCCTCTGCAGCCTTCCAAATAACTTTGGTAGTGCTGATAACAGCTTTCTCCTTTCAAAAAGTGATTCTGACACTTGCCCAGTTGGGTGATAAAGTTTTGTTTAATGTCTTATCTCTTCCCTTGTGATGGGGTTATATTTGAATATTTGTTTTCATGATGGCTTTTTCAAACAGAGATCATAATTCTGTGGGTAAAAGTGCTATATTGAACAGAAGTTTCTGAAAGAATGTAATGGAAGAACATAGTTTTAATTCAAATCTTGCCCACCTCTTGCAGGACTTTTTTTAACCACTTCCACGGGGAAAAAGGACCTTACGAACAATCAGGGATCAGTGCTTACCGATTCCATTGCATCTTTCAAAAGAACGTGCTGCGGGAGATTCTGTGATGTTCCGAGTCCTAGTTTAGTCCTGGACTTACTGAAGAGAACAGTTTTGTGTACTTGTCCATAATGAAATAGTATGATCTTCCATGAAAGACATGTAAATTTCCCCTAGCCAAAAGAATTACTAGATTGACTTTAAACAACCATCTGTGCATTAGATAACTTCCTGCTAATGTAACAGCAGTCCAATAGCTTCCTTATTTGTTTTTTTAGTGATTATTCCCAGGATTGAGCGTACTCTTTCTTATATCATCACAGAACTGGATGAACGAGAGCGAGAGGAATTCTACAGGTAAATATCTAAAGCAAGACTAGACTGGTCTCTTTTTCTCTAAATAGACCATTCTTCAGAAGGGACTTATGAGAACTGTTCACCAAATCTGGCAGTGAAGACTGTTAAACATGACCTGGTTCTTACTGCACATTGAGTTTCCAGAGCTGGGCACTTGGAGATCTGCCATTACTTGTCTGAAAGTTACAAATGGATCCCTACCACTAGCTTGTACATAGTTGTCATTATCATTCTTCCAGACAGAATGATGGGATAAAGCAGAATGCCTCGGTGTACTGTAAGGACACCTCTACCATAGAGGTCAGTGTTCGGGGCTACCTGAAGCAAAAGTGTCAAACCTGAAATGAATTAAAGGAGAACTAACTTCATTAAAGACAAGCAGAGTAGTATAACGCCGTGTTTAAGGTCAAGAATTTAATCTATAGTTTGGATGAAGAAATGAGTTAATCTGCAGAGATGAAGTTTTTCAATGGCAGCAGCTAGTGATAAAAGCCTTTTGCCATTTGTTACAGGATTTTCATTTCCTGGGGAACTTCTCCAGGCAGCTTTATCATATCCAAGTTGTATAGCATCTTTGCTGCTAGCCTGTTTTATGAAGACATTTGTTTCACAGATAAACCACATTTCTCTTCACAGGTTAAAGAAGATCCAGGAAAAGAAAAAAGTATTGAAAGAAAAATCTGAGAAAGAACGGGAGCTGCGGAGGGCTGCTGGTGGGGAACGTGAACCAGCCAATCTCTTAGCAGAAGAGAAGGATGAAGACCTTCTCTTTGAGTAACCCAGCACAGTTGTTGCATATGGAGCAGGGGACCCAGAATAGAGAACGTCCATTTGCAATATAATTCAGGACATGTTGCCTCAATGATACTTACGTGGCTTCTCAGTTGGTGTATAAATCTTGAGTTGAATGGATTGTGGATTTCTCCTGGGAGATTAGAAATCTGGGAACTTGACTGCAGCACAGGAGGAAAAAGGAGAGACCAGTCAGGTGCTTTACTATCAGGAAAGCCGCCTGTTTTGTGTTCAGCCTATTTCTTCACTTACTAGGAATGACTGTCTGTAGCTGTGTTTTTTGCAGGACAGCTCTGGATTTGCTTAACCAGATTCCTCTTTAATTGCTCCCCTTCCTAGTGCAAGCAGAGGAAAACATTGTTTAGGGAGGGAGATGCATGTGATGTTCTTTACTGTTGAACTATTAATGTTCAAGTTGCTTAAAGCAGGTATTGGCACAGCTGAAGTCAAGTGTCAGTAAAGGCAACTCTGATTTTCTAACCTGTTGATGAAATCCACAGTCTTCTGTGATTTTTGTTGCACGATTGTTACCATTGGCCTAAAACATCTATGGTTTTAATTAGAGGTTCTGCCAACTTGTGTACTGTCTGTGCTAGAAACAAGTAAAAATTTTAAGTGTTAAATATCTGGTGTCTGGCTTAAGTTGCTAGCAGATGGTGGTCTTAAAAGCTTGTCACGTCGATTTCAAAATAAAACCTTTGCTTCATCACCTACCCCCAACTTAGAATCCGCACTGGACACCTCTCTTTTCAGCCTATGCCCACATTCACTTAACCTTTACTCCTTTAGATAAGTAACCAAGGAGAAGTCGCTTCTTCCTGACACAAACGCATAGAAACTCTTCTCAACTATCCAGCTACACGTTGCTCCAAATCTTCATTGCAACCAGTAGGTTGGCAAGCAAAGCAGGGTTGAACGTACAGCAGTCCATCCTTGCTGTGAATCTTCATGTCCTTTGCTGATTAGGGGAGTCTAGGAGAGTGGCCGATAAGCAGGCTGTCACTGAATGCTGCTCAGTTTGAAGGGCTCTTTTCCTAAAGGCATTGGTTTGCAATCAGCAAACTGAACACATGCCATAGCGGTAGTACTAGTACATTGTCTGTAGTACTACTAGTCTCTTCAAGGCAAGCATCTTGTTTTAAACATGATCCAGCGCTTAACTGCAGACACAGGGTAAGTGCAAGGAAATGAATTTCTACTAACACCTTTAAAAAGTCATTTTATAACTGTATGAAGCACAAGGCCATTTCTTTTCTCTTTTGAAACTGAAGGCAGCACAGCTGAATAGTAAGTCCATACTCTCTTGTAAGATACAGGTCCAGCTTGAAAGAGTGAAACTGTAGATCTGAGGACATCCTCTCCCACTGGATGCATGGTGTCAGAACTAACAGAGAACATCCTCTAGGGCACTGATGGGTCACAGCACCTTTCACACATTCAGCAAAATGGCAGAAAAAAGACTCCCAAGATCCACTACAAGAAGTAAAATTGTACAGTGATTTATTTTAAATCTAGAAATATTTTACATTTTTACATTAGTGTGCAGTTCATGATGTCTCAAAATACAGAGTGCAGATATATGTATAAAACTACAATGTGGGGCTAACCACAGGTCTCAGTAAAGTTACCTTAATTATTTAAGGCATTAAACCCCCATCTTGTATTTTAAAAAGTCACATATAATTACATTCAAAAATTTTTATGCAATTCAGCTAACATTTATTTTTAATTAAATCTGGACTGGTAAAAATGCAGATACCCTCATTTCAGTCTGATACAGCTCACTACAAAGCCTGTGATAAGGTTGAAGAGTTTCACCAGTGAAGTTTGCATAGTCTCTTTTACTCTCAAGGGAATTAACACACATTCTTCGTTAAAGAAGGCAGAATAATTTCTTACACAAGGTAGTTCCAGGTCCAAACTGGCAGCAGCCAGCCAGCCAGGTACATTTCTCAGTGCTGCTCAAGCCTTTCCTTTCGGCAGGAGACAAAGCTAACATTGCTTATAAACTATCGTAGCACCTCTCTAACAAACAGACAGCAAGTACTGTGTGCCTTGGGAATTAAGAGAGTAGAGCTGAACTTCAAGCAACATCCTTTAAGTCTACATTCAAAAGCTTATTTGTATAAAAACAGCTTCTGTACACCATTTCAGAAAAACTGGGGAGACAAACATGAGTCAAATACATTAATGGCATGATTTACTGTGACTGACGCTGCCTATGAACATGGAATGCCTAAGGGGGTTCAGCAACCATCTTGAGCTGATTGTGACTGCAAGAATTTGGACAGTACCTACGTAGCTGAGCTAGGTTACCCTTGACGAACACATTTTACTGCTTTCCACCTTCTTGTCCAACTATGAAACAGTCAATACCAAAAAGCCTAATACATCTACAATCATCTTTCTTAAAAAAGGGTAGAATCTATACAATATTTTGTCATCTATGAAACACTGACTATCCAATATACCCAAACATTGTAGTTGTCATAAACTATGGATTAAACTGAGAACGTGCCTGCAATGTGAGGCAAAAAGCCATTATTTTGAATATCCAGCCAGTAGGCCAACTGCTAGCACATTATTTCTAACACTGAATTGAACTAAAAATACTAAAGTTTCCAACCTCTTTTCTTTCTGAAGGGTCATTACTTATCCTCACTAATTGCTTAATTGCTTTTCAGCCCTAAATACTAATTAAACCAGCAAATAATTTCGCTTTCTAACAAGACACGAATGCACTCTATACTTCCATTTTTCAATACAAAAACGTACTGAATGTTAGTTCAGTAACTAGGATAGTTACCTGGCAATTTCTTTATATCTGCTGTATACTTTGAGCTCTCTATTTAACTATGGGTGTGAATTTGTTCCATTAACATTTGAAGAATATATGCAAGACAGAATGGGAAAAATCAACTTTTTCATCCTTCAACATTAAACAGGAGTGAACTACACATTGATGTAACTCCAGTGTTTTACCTGTAGTAACAAAGAAACACTACGGCTAAAATTAAGAGATATTCACAGTCAAGGTTCTTTGTGCTACCCAAAACCAAAACAACCAAGATACTATTACTCAGTTAGCTTCAGCGACAGAACAGCCCTACTGCAGATGCATAGCCTTAGTAGTTAAACCTTCACAGCTCAGAATCATTTGAGGATGCAGAGATGTTCCGATCTGCTTTGCAGAACACACTAGGATACAGACAGACCTTGCCTTTTGTTCACTTCTTTCAAGTTTTTTTGTTTGTTTTAACCATTACAAATATTCCCCTTTCTTATGAATTCTCAGTCAGTTACCAGTGTTTTACACATACTTTCACTGCAGTACTGAGCAAATGCAGGACAATACGTTGGCTAGTGAATTACAATACTCACTTATAACGCAGTAGCTACATTCAGCTATTTTAATTCCAGTTAGTTATCCATTAGACCAACAGCCACAAGATGAACCACTTGCAGAGATTAAAAAACCCCACTATCTTCCAATGTTCAGCACATCAGTCTAGTTTAGTCAGTACTCTGTTATAAAACATGAGAACTTAAGTTGACTTTTAAGCAGCATGTCTTATAACTATATATTTTTCACAAAAATATAACCTCTGCCTTTCTAAATATCTCTACAGATCTGTGGAAAACAGCGGCTCCAATTGGTCAATATCTTTTAAAGAAAATTCCATAAAAATATCACATCTAAAAGATCAATATAATATTCATCTTTGATTGGACCTAAAATTAATGTGCAGTCAAATCTGATTTAAAAAGTCTTGACTAAAAAGACATAAGGGTTGAAATATTTACATTATACACATTTTCCAATTACAGTGCTATTAGAAAATGGAATGTTTTGAGAATTAAAATATTCACTCAAGCCTCACAGGGCAGCTCCAGACCAGAGCGGCATCTTCATTCTGTGTATTTTTTGAACAGGAGAGATTTCTCATTAACGTTTTTCATGTATAGATTATTTCTCTGCCCAATGATCTGTAGAATTATTCTCCTGAACTACCATCATGTCCCACAAAGTCATTAAGTTAAGTGTTAAATAACATTCATATTTATAACTATGTGACAGCATGGACTGTATATACACACACACTTAAAAATCTTTGATTTCATAAGGGTCATTCTAGGTAAAAAAGGTGGATTTATGTATAAAAGTAGTTACTAGAAAAATCTATCTAAAGCTTTAGAATTTAGTACTGACAAGGTCTCCATTTCTAGACCACAGAGAAAGAAAACTTGGACAATCATTAGATCAGTTAAATCGGCTCACAAGCTGATTAGCGTATTTTTTCAATAATACGCAATTTCACTAGCAAAGGATGCAGCCACTGAGGTCTAGAGCTCACGCATTTATACTAGAATTGGACAGACCTACACACGATCTCCTTGGAAAGATTACTAGATTGAAGTCCATTTGTCCCTTGGAATTGCTCTCTCATCGTAGCCAGGTAGAGGGCACCCACTGGGGTTCTGTGTCAAGTTTGTTTATTAACCGAAGTAACTCTTGATATGCCTTATCAAGATCAGAATTCACAACTGCGGTATCAAAGTAGTGGCCATTGTTCTGTTCCATTTCCCTCGTCTTCTCTATGATTTCTCTCAGCTCTTCTGGCTGCAATCAAAAACAGAGTATTAGTGTATGTGTGTAATTCTCCCAAAAAAAAGTCTTTTACACAAATTTTCATGGTATTACTACCAGCTATTGAAAAGTTTACAATAGCATTGAACCATGACACATATTTGAAAGCTAAGGGCATTCAAGACAATCCTTTCTGATTGGCCATAAGTGGCAAACCAGCAAGTAACTGTCCCAGACCAAAGTAAACGAAGATCTAGCACTACACATTTTATGACATTCATCTTACTGAGGCTCTTAAATCACATTTCTGAAAAATAAGTTAGGTTGCTGAGCCCATTATCCTTCTGAAAAAGACTGGAGATGGCAGAGAGTGTGAGAATAAGTTTGAATGGCGTAGAACAAGACAGCGTTCCTCTGAAGATGTAGCACTACAAACACCAAATAGCCAAAGGCAACAGCTATCATTGAAGTATTTTCACCAATAAACAGCAATGAGAACCACAGTGAGAGCTATATATTTAAGTTGATCGAATCACCATAGCATCAGGTAAATGCCATTGCAGAAAAGTGGAAAACATGATTTGGGAGCTGGAAGGAAGTATGTCAAAAGCAAGAATATTGCAGATGTAGATAAATGATGCAGAGGGAGAAGTAGAAATGGCTTGTTTTACTTCAGATTTTCTTGTTTACACTTGGATTCTAAAAGTGTGTGTGTTTTTCTCTTCTGCAGCTTATTTTTGTATTACAAAGGAGTATTCAGGTATAATTTTTGAGATAATTTTCTAAAGAGGATATTTTCAAAAGGGACTTCAGGCCTTCAAGATTTTTTTTCTAGGCACTATACACACTTAAGAAAATCAAGGTCACATACAGGCATACACACAAGAAATACCCTTTTCTTTATGAGGGGAAGGGGTTTAACATAGCGGCGTTTACCCAACTGAAATAAATACAACTCCAATACGATTAATCAGAAAGAAACCAGGCATAGTTTAACACCAATAACAGTGTATTAATTTTTATTGCAAATGGAT